TGGGCACGCGTGCGCGTTACTGGGCGCGCGGACGCTGCCTGCGTACTCGCTGGACCTGCCGGGCGCGCCTGCGCGCATGCTGTGCGCGGTAGACATCACGGTCGGCATTTCGCCGGCCGTCCGGCTACTTTTTCTGGCAAATCTTATATAACTGAGTATAGAATGACTTGAAATGATCAAATATACATAAATTGTTCGGGACTTGCCAGTTCTATTTTGAAATCACTCGGGAGGGCTTAAATAGCACCTCCGAGTACAATTTTACTAAAAACTTGGACCGAACAATTTGATTTTGACATGACCTTGTTAACATCAACTTAATTACATGAAAAGAGGGTAAAGGAGTGTATACCCTTCAGTTTGGCTGACAAACGCACGAAGACTTGCGAGTGTGTTCGGTGCTCGGTTTGGCGTGAGCTTGCTTCCCTTTTGCTCCGGCAATCCTTAGCTATTATTATATAATTTTTCCTCTATTTTTTCTTACTGTTTTCTCTCTATTTAGTGCTCTGAAATTGCATGAGAATGCATGGGGAGAATGTCCCACATGCTCGGTTATTTATGGAGATAAAAACCGAGAGTAAAATGGGGTCAAAGGAGGTGGAAGATGACGTTATTTCCTTTGATTACAAGTGTCCAAAGCACGGCTGAAGTGTTGGGCAAATTTTGCTTAGTCATTGCCGAGGTGGCGGACATGCACGGCTTAGTCATCACTTGTGCGTCCGTGTCATGCCGTGTGTGCAAGCAAGGAGGTGACTCATCACCCCACTTGCACACCCAACATTTATCCTTTGAATTTCCCTCACGGTAATTCTTAGGATGGGGTTTGTCTTGATCGAGTTGTTAAGCATTGCCTAAGTGCGTGCTTAGCGGGCTAATGACGCGCGCGCTATGCGCTGCGCGCGACAATGCGCGTTGCGCGTGGCTACGCGTAAGGCTGCGTACGTTGTGCATGTATGCATGCGTGCATAGTGCACTTGAGTGTGTTCATAACTTAACCTTAGTTTCGATCATGAACTTAGTTCCGAACATTCTTAACTTTTAATAATTAATCCCGATTAATAATGTCCGTTTATAAAATAAACGGTTCGGAAGTTAATTATCGAATTTGACTCGGTTAATATTTAACCGAATAAACTTTTCGACTTAAAGTCGAACTTATTTGCTGAAAATGAACGAAATCAATAAAAGAAAATACATCACTTTATTAACAAAAGTTGGGTTATTACAATCTACCCCCCTTAAAATATTTCCGTCCCCGAAATATACAACTGAACATATATACATGATACGAGAAAAGTGTATACATCAAAACTGGAAATCGGAAAAACGAGCGCGGATATCTGCCTCCTGCTCCCAAGTAGCTCCGTGGCGATCCCACTGAACGCGAATAAGGGGAACATTACGCTTCTGGAGTCGTCGAACCTGTCGGTCCAAAACGGCTACCGGTCGCTCCTCATAAGACAAATCGGGATTGATCTCAACATCGGTATGCGGAATAACATGATCGGGATCGCACACGTATTTACGCAACATGGATACATGAAAGACATTATGAATACTGGATAACTCGGGAGGTAAGGCTAACCGATACGCGACTTCGCCTACTCGCTCGAGAACTTCGAACGGGCCTATAAACCGAGGGTGTAACTTCCCTCTCTTCCCAAATCGAATAACTCAGCGAATAGGGCTAACTCTGAGAAAAGCTCGTTCTCTGACTTTGAACTGAATGTCACGTCTATGCTTGTCGGCCGATGATTTCTGTCGACTCTGCGCCGTTCTAAGCCTCCGTCTGATAAGCTCGACTTGCTCAGCTGTCTCCTCGATCAATTTCGGACCAAGTACTCGACGTTCGCCAACATCGTCCCAATAAAGGGGCGAGCGGCATTTACGCCCATATAGTGCCTCGAAAGGAGCCATTCGAATCGACACCTGATAACTGTTGTTATAGGCGAACTCAACTAATGATAAAATCGACTCCCATTTAGCACCCCTGTCTAGCGTCAACAATCTGAGCATATCCTCGAGCATCTAAATAATTCTTTCTGTCTGACCACCTGTCTCCGGATGGTAAGCCGAACTGAACTGTAACTGCGTGCCCATCGCTTCGTGTAAACTCTTCCAGAATCTGCCGGTGAATCTGGAATCTCGATCTGACACAATGTGAGCGGGCACTCTGTGGAGTCGAACGATCCCACGGGTATAAATCTCGACTAACTTGTCCATTGACATGGTCATCGATACAGGTAGGAAATGTGCGACTTTCGTCAATCTGTCCACTACTACCCAAATCGCATCGTGGTGTTCGGACGACTTGGGCAGCCCTGTAACGAAATCCATCGAAATCTCCTCCCACTTCCACTTTGGAATATCAAGTGGTCGTAGAAGGCCTAAGGGGCTCTCATGTTCGGCCTTAACTTGCTGACAGATCAAACACTTTCTTACGAAATTGGCAACATCCTTCTTCATTCCCCTCCACCAGAAAGACCCTTTTAGGTCATGATACATCTTGCTGCTACCAGGATGAGCTAGATAAGGCGCGGTGTGTGCCTCTGTCAAGATCTCCTTCTGCAAGGCCTCGACCTTCGGCACTATAATCCTGCCTCGGAACTCTAAGGCGCCATCTGCGCCTCGTGAAAAACCCTCGACTCCTACAGCGTGAAGCTTGGCCTCAACAACACGTACAAACTGATCATGAGCCTGCTCCTGCCGGATTCTGTCTCTCAACGTAGGCTGAATTTGCATCGAGCTAACACTCCCTGTAATCACTGCAGGAAGCGACTCGACGACTTGGATCTGCATCCGGGCAAAGCCTTGGATAAGATAACGCTGCTGAGTAATAGAACAAGATAATTCGCCTTTTACCTTTCGGCTCAAGGCATCAGCTACAACATTTGCTTTCCCCGGATGATACTGAATCGTGCAGTCATAATCTTTAACAAGCTCTAACCAACGCCTCTGACGCATGTTGAGCTCCTTTTGCGTGAAAATATACTGCAGACTCTTGTGATCGGTGTAGATCTCACATCGACCACCATAAAGATAATGCCGCCATATCTTAAGTGCGTGTACCACTGCAGCTAACTCCAGGTCGTGAGTAGGATAATTCTGTTCATGGGACTTCAACTGACGTGAAGCATATGCTACAACCTGGCCGTCCTGCATAAGTACACACCCCAAACTCGCTTCGAAGCATCACTATAAGTGGTGAAGCTCCGAGAAGGATCGGGAATAGTCAGCACTGGTGCCGTCGTAAGTCTTCTTTTCAGCTCCTGAAAACTTGACTCACAACGATTTGTCCACTCAAACTTCACAGACTTCCTCGTCAACTGGGACAAAGGGAGGGCAATCTTCGAAAATCCCTCAATAAATCTGCGATAATAACCTGCAAGGCCGAGGAAACTACGAACCTCGGACAAATTCTTTGGTGCTGACCAGTTCTGTACTGCGGCAATTTTGGAAGGATCTACTTCAATATCTGCTTGAGTGATAATGTGGCCAAGAAAAGCCACTCGCTGAAGCCAAAATTCGCATTTAGAAAACTTTGCATATAATCTTTCACGTCTAAGGGTCTCAAGAACGGCCCTCAGATGCTCTTCATGCTCCTTCTGGCTTTTGGAATAGATAAGGATATCATCAATGAATACAATAACGAACTGATCGAGAAAGGATGAAATACACGGTTCATCAAGTCCATGAATACTGTCGGGGCATTACTGAGGCCAAACGGCATAACCACAAACTCGAAGTGACCGTATCTCGTACGAAAGGCTGTCTTAGGTATATCTAACTCCTTGATTTTCAGCTGATGGTAGCCTGAACGCAAATCAATCTTAGAAAACACGCAGACACCCCTCAACTGATCAAACAAATCATCAATCCTGGGAAGCGGATATTTGTTCTTGATCGTCAACCGGTTGAGATCCCGGTAGTCGATACACATACGCATAGATCCGTCCTTCTTCTTGACAAAGAGAACGGGTGCTCCCCAAGGTGAGACGCTCGGTCGTATAAAACCGAGATTCAGCAACTCTTGAATTTGGGTCTTTAACTCTTGTAATTCTTTAGGTGCCATTCGATACGGCGCCTTAGAAACGGGTCCGGCTCCAGGGATAAGATCGGTAGAAAATTCCTAGCCGACACCGTCTGGAAGCTGATCTGGGAACACGTCCACGAACTCACGAACAATAGGAATGTCATGAGGTGACCGTGCTTTTGGCTCATCTTCAACGAGGCTCACAAGGTAACCCTGGCAATTTTCCCGTCGAAGAATCCTCCTGACTTTCTCTATAGAAATAATATGGGGCAGAGTACGAGTCCTGGAGCCGAAATAAGTGATCTTATCATCTCCCGAAAGATAAAGAGTGATCTCCCGGTCATGACATCGGATATCTGCGTGAAAACGTGTTAGCCAATCCATACCAAGTATGAGGTCAAAATCCCTCATCTCGATAACATAAGCATCAGAAGTCAAAATACGGCTGCCGACGGAAAGGCTGAGATCGGTGGCTCTGGCGTCTGTCACTATCTTTCGTCCCGAGGCCAAACTAACCTTGAGAGGATCGACAGTGGTAAGAAAATGAACTCCTACAGCTTTGAGACATCGGCGTGATATAAAAGAATGGGTTGCTCCGGTGTCAAATAAGGCATAAACAGGCACATCATTAAGAATAATCATCCCAGACATGGTACCTGGGTGCTGGTAGGCCTCTCCCTGATCAAGTGAAAAGACGCGGGCTTGCTGTCTGCCGCGTTGCTGTTGCTGGGGTCGTGGTGGCTGCTGCCTGGGTGGTTGCTGTTGAGGTTGCTGAGGTGGCTGTCGTTGTTGCTGTTGTTGTTGCAGACGTTCGGGACAGTTGGTGCTGATATGGCCTGGCTAGCGACAAAAGAAACAGATGTTCTGGCCCATAAGGCATTCTCCGCGGTGGCGTCGTCCACAAGTGGCACAAGGTGGGGTCTGTTGTTGTCGGGGGCGGTTCTTGCGATCGTCTGGACCTCCTCTGAACTTCCTCTTCTTCTGGTTCTTCGATGGTTGGGCAACATTGGGCTGGGCTGGTGGTTGAACATCTGGCTGGGCTAAGGTCGGATGGGCTTCTCGTCAGATGCTGGCATCTATCTCCTGGGCAATGGCGATTGTGCGGGCGTAGGTCTGGATGTCGTGACCTACGATGTTGTGGCGGACTGCTGGGAGAAGTCCGTCGGTAAAACGAAGAGCTCTCTTCTCCTCTGTACTTACAAGATCAGGTACAAAGGATCCGAGTCGGGTAAACTCTCTTTCGTACTCGTCGACAGAACGAGCACCCTGTCGGAGTGCCAAAAACTGGTGCTCCATATCTGCTCGGTAGTACGAAGGATAGTACTTTCCACGGATTAACCTCTTGAATTGGTCCCATGTACAGCCTTCTTTCTCTCCGGGACGCATACTCCAATAGGCATTCCACCAGAGTCTAGCGTCACCGGTCAGCTGGATTTGTGCGCATAGCATACGATATCGATCAGGACAGTCCATGACCTCGAAAATCATTTCAAGGCCCTGAACCCGTTCGTCCACTATACGAGGATCTCCTTGGCCGGAAAACTTCTCTGGATGGTAGTCGCGAAAGTGTGCGACTACTGTGGCCTGAGGGAGCTCCTGATGATCTGGTTCTCTACGAGGCGGCATCTGAATATTGGAAAAGATCAACGTAATCAGATGCAGACGTGATAAAATACTTTACTGATTATTCATGCGCACAGATCTCTTGACGAGTTGCTAATATTAATCCTGAGAAACTAAAGTCGAAATGTCGAATAACTAGGACAATTGACTTATACTGGACCACTAATTCGAGCATCTTACTGACTTCTAGGTTAAATATCTGACACCCTTTCACTGAGCATAGACTAAAGTATCCATTTAAATATATATAAACTGTAACTCAGCACTTACCTATAGTCGGCGAGGCGTGAGCGTAGCGTGGTCGGATCCTTTCTGAAAATTTCTAACTCAATAAAGTATTCAGATACACAAAAACGTGCTCTGATACCATTTGTAACACCCCGCTAGCTTAATAAAATCAGAGTAAAATTTTCGCAATTTCTTTTCTAAAAATACGTATTAATCTTGCGAAATCAATATTCGAGGTGTTACTGAAAAAAAAAAACCTTCTTATTTAAAATCCGTTATCTTTCCCGTATTAAAGTATTAAGAAAAACGAACTATCTTAGTTAACAGGCATGTAGAATTGTATAAAATCTGACTGACAAAATTTGAATATTTACATGCGAGTTTGTCAACCTGAAAGTGTCAGCGGAAGTTCAAAACGTGGCAAAACATATATATACATGTCCAAAAGTCTATATAACAAACTACAACCATCGGCTCCGCTCACTCCTCCGGACCGACTCTGCAACCTGAAAAAGAATAATATAGTGGGGCGTGAGCACTAAAAGCCACCGTGCTCCGCAGAAACTCATACTAAAGTAAAACAGTAATAATAATTGCAATATCATGATCTAAAGCATATATAACTGAACTGTCATGTCATGTACTATAGCTGCGATCAATCGTAACTACTACGGGATCTAATATTGTATCTGACGGCTATAATATACTGCGCCGCGCCTATGTGCACACTCTAGTGGGCAGATTACGCCACTAGAACTCAGATGGTCTTACTTTGTCTAGCCTCACTGAGCAGGAACTGAATATACATACCTTGAACATGATAACTGTAATTATACTCAATGTAATACTTAGTATGAGTTCCCACCTGAACTGTTATATGTAAGTGCTGCTGCTGATCAATCTGAAAAATATATATAAATAAACAAATACTAAGTACTATGCTCAGACTGACTGAAAATAGCTGTTAAGACGCTCGACTCGATCTAAATATTTAACAGAAATATTTTCGGGGGTTAACTTGACTGAAAAGAAAACTGGACTGAATTAATACCGGTAAACTAGACTGACTGGACTGAAAAATTAACTGAAATACTGTACTGGATTCGAACTGAATCAGTAAATACTGAACAGCTCAAAAATCCGGTCTAAACCGGCCGGTTCATTTTCTGGCCGGACCGCCGGCTCACTGCGGCCGGGCGGTCGGCTGCTGG